TCGATGGCGGCCAAGTGCACATGGGGCTCACTGGGAGCGAAGGCAGCGTTCATCCCTTTCCACGTAGTCTTGTTGCCGGTTTCGCTCATTGGCGGTTGCGGCCCGGGCGCCTCGGTCCTCAAGAGAGGCGTGGGTGACCCGCTCCGCGTCGTGCACGTGCAAGCTTTGACCATAAAGTTATCAAGCCCCCGGTCGCTGTCAAGAGCGGTAGGTCAGTAACCTTGAACCCACATCAAGGAGTCGATCACGTACGTGTTGCGAATAAGGTAATCCAGTATGACGAGCTTTTCCAGCTCCTCCCTGAAGCTGTTTATCATTTCTTCGGTCCAGCGAAACGTGTCATCTTCCTCGTCAATCTCTCCCTCGTTGTCAAAGTCGTCCTCCTCGGCATCTGCGCGACCACACATGCATTTCAGTGGCCCAAAAAGATTCGCGTGACCTTTGCGATGCGGAGACGTGTCGAGCGTCTGGCTCAGTGGTCGCCCTGGTATCGGATGGTCACGCAAGAAGACGCTGGCGTCTGTGAACCCTTTCAGGAACACTTGGAAGGAACCGTCCTTGTCGCGAAGTTTTCCTTTACGTCCAGCACGTTCCCGATCGATCCAGTCATAGTAGAAAGCCGGCGATGCCAGTGAAACGACCTCAGTTCGCGGTACGATGTACGTTTCTAGCCGACGGTCGAGCAATGACGCGGCCGACTCGGACAAGTAAGACAGATTGGGGATCAAACACGCTCGTCCAAATGGTATAATACGCGATAAGAATACGCGGTGTACGTATTTGGTGAATTTTGGGTTCAGCCGGCCATACGGCTCCTCGTCTTTGGGTTTGAATATGCCGACTGTCTGCCCGACCTTGTTGCGCGCAAAGTAGCTTCCGGACGAGCCTTTCGAGTTTAAGCGCGGGTGAACCCCGGCATCAATGGCTTCCTCGACAGCGTCCACAAGCCTGCGATCCCGCGATAGAAATCTCAGCCTCACATCCTGGACACTGCGCCACCTTGACGGACTCATCAAATTGCGCGCGCGTCATTGGCGACTCGTGGTCAAGAGTCACGACGGTGCGACCTTTGCTATCGTCCGCAGACAACCCTTCGTAGAACGAATCGGTCACTGGCTCAAACACGCTGGCCAGAATTTCCACGGGCTTTGAGCGGTCTCTCTGATCCACGAGGTCGGATTTGGCTCGCTTGCGCCTGCTTCGTTTCAGTTGCATTCGCTGGTTGATCGTAGCCGTCCATCTTCTGAACAATGTATCAAGTTCGAACGCTAGCGGCGATTTTGTCTTGCGCCTGAGCCGGCGAGAGCTTGTCCGATGAGGTCCCTGCTCGAGCCGGTCGAGAGCATCTTCTGAAGCAGGTAATGGGGCGTAATGCGTTCGCGACGGACGGCTGCTGGCCATGCTGCTTTCCCGTGATGCTCAGCACCAAGACGTCACTGCGCGGTCGTCTGGCGGCTGCCGGAACAGTGAGAGTCAGTGATAGCTCTCGCGAAACAATTCGTTGCTCTGCAGTATCGCTTTACTTCAGTCGACGGCGCCTCAAACAGTGCACGCCGTGACGCGCCGCGACGCGCAGTGTGGCGTCTACAGTGGCAGCAGCCCTCCTATGCCGTGTGCATCAACGTAGGACAATCCTGCGCCTGGATCAGATGTACACCGTTCCGATTGTGTCGCACGGAAGCCCCGAGCTCGGCGGACACGAGCTTGAGCGGTTGTGCTTTCGATGCAAGTCGATGAGCAGTTGTACGAGAGCAGGTATGCTCTTAGAGTGGTTGTATATAGAAAACTGGGCGCAGTCAGCCCGATTGAAGGCAACGGTTGAAAGCGTGCCGACGCCATCGTTTGAGCACGTGACCTCTTTTGAACGGTGGCACGAACTCCTGTCTTCCTTCCTCTCTCCCCCGTTCGCTGGCACATCCGCCCAACCCTCGCAAATTCGGCTTGTCGCTCTGCTGGTCTGTTGGACTAGTCTTGTCCACGAAACGAGCGCCCCCACTGCGCGGGACTGAGCTCGTCCAGCCAAACTGCGGGGAGTCCGTGTCGGGCGAATCAAGCCACGTAACGCAGAAACGGCAAGCTGTAAATGTCGTCATTGGCCTTGTCTCCGCTCTCGGCTGGAGAAGATCGCTGCTGTAGCGTATGCTACGAGGTGCCGCAGCGTTGGGCGTTGCTCGGTGCGTCCCCGTCGTCCACTCCAAGCCGGATGCAGCTTGCGATTAATAGAAACAGTTCTGACCATATCCTTTGTTCAGACTGTTGCACCCATGAGTTTTGCCTCGAATGCATTACGACGTGGCGTACTCCACGGGGCAACCAAACCCCGGCCGAGGCAAAGTCGTGCGACAAGTGTCCGACCTGTAGACGGAAAATCATGCTGGTCGTGCCTTCAAGGTGAATCTGCCCGTTGACACTTCGCCTGACCGGGACAATCATGCTCACTTGGGTCTTGCGAAAGCTACTTTGTGTCAGACGGCCCAGTCAAATCAGATTTGCTTGCAGACTTTCGCGGTGAGCCAAATCTTTCGCGCATGTAGTTGCATGCTTACCAGGCCGCCAAAATCAGCCCATCGAGCAAAGATCTTGTGCAAGCACTTTCAAGAATCACTCTTCGATGACCCCTGGTGTCCGAAAGGCCGAGACTGCGTAAAGCTACCATCTGACACCCGCATCTTGGCAGAGCTGACTCTGGTTCGACTAGCTGTACATGCACATGACGCCGGGCGGCGGGACCAGGATTTTCTCACACTCTTTTGCACAGCATGTCCGCCGACAACACAAGATCCAGCGGGCGGAAGCAATCTTTGTCTCCATTCTGCGCAAGCATACGGGTCACCCGAGTCTCGACGGGCTTCACGGTACAGCGCCTGGCGACAGACCTGCAGATTTGTCAGAGGCGGTGGCTTCTCTCGAAGAGAGGGGAGAGTGGACCGTGCGCAACTGGATTCGCGTTCTCTTGCTCGCCTACACGCTGTACAGCTCAGATCAGCCAGATCCAATGGGTTTGAGGCAACTCAAAAGCTACCAATCACACTTCAAAGTGTTTGAAATCGATGACGGCGAACACGAACCCGACGAAGAGGTGTATTCGGCCGAGCGCGCAGCCCTGTCCAGCGTCGACACGACCTCAGTCTTGGAAGACGAAGTCATGTCAAATTCAGGCAGCTACACATCGCGAGAATTGTATACACGAAATACATTCATCTCCGCGTCCAACCCTGGCATTGCGCGGCCCGAATTTGGACGGGCTCTTCAAATTCTGGAATCGGAGACGGATCTGTCTGATGCGACCTTCTCGACTGACAGTAGCGTATCATGCTCAAGCGACTTTGACGATAGTGACGATGACATGGCCTCGGAGGCTGACGACGAAGAGGATGTAACACCAGTGCTTAGCGAAGACGACAGGGACAGCAGAGAGACGACGCCACTCGCGACCCCTGCTCTGGCGAGACAGCACATACCGTCTCTGCTCAGGACCTCGTGCGAGCCCAGCCAGTGGCTTTCGGTCGATCATTACGCCGTTGGATCCAAGTCGGGTGATGTGAACGAGCTCGAAGACGTCGTCGACAGCTCGGCAGTGACTTCGCCTCCAGACGAGTCCACGACAGATACAGCAACTTCATGTCCAGACACGGACTCGGACTCTGAAAGTGGCAGTGATAGTGAGTTTGACGAAGACATCGATGACGATAGCGATGTCGACACGGAGGACGAAATGATTGCGCTTTTGGAGGATACATCTGCCTCCCGGATCGACAAACACTACCAGGCCTTGTCAACCATGTTGCGGCTCAAGCTCTTGAGTGAAGACATTTCGCAAGAGAAGGAAGTCACGACGGAGGCAGACGAGGGTGGATCCTCATGAATCTTGCCAAAGCAAGCGACATGGCTAAATACTTTGGAACTCTGTCAAATTGCCCATGATCATTGATTAGATGTTTTTTTATTTTAAAAACGAGATATCCAGTGCAATTGATCACTTGATCATCTACGGAATACAAACTATCCATTGCAATTGATCATTTGGTCATCCAGACGAAGAAGAGTCCTCACATGTCTCGGCTTCAATAGTGGCCACCTCGGTGGTTGTGCGTGGCTTGCCAGGATACGTGCCGTACCAACCGCGTCAGTGATGCGTCTGCGAGGTTGTTCAAGCGTCGCATACCACTGTAGCCACATGCCCTCGCCGTCTCCATCTTCGAGTTCCCTTCCGCTCGAAACGCGCGGTGCCATACGCTCACCAAGTGATTAACTGCAATGGATGGTTTGTTTAGACAAAGAAAAAGTCCAAAGTCCGTATACGTACCCTCGTGATCGCGACCTTTGGCGCGTTCGCCACCTCACCAATGAAGGAAGTGTGGAACATCGAGACGATGATGAGAAAGATTGGAACAGTACGGATTTGTTCTTTTTTTTTCTAAACAAACTAACCAGTGCAATTGATCACTTAGTCATCTACAGGATAGAACGGGGCAAGAACAAAAATCCATTATGGAGTTCGACGCAGAAGATTCCTTGGCTTTGCGAGCTTTGGCTTCAACAGTGTGGAACTCCGACAGGTGGTAGAGTTGATCATAGGTCGTGTGCCCCCTGAAACAAGGACGGAGTTGTTTACCGGATTTCCGGGTTCCGTCAGTAAAAGGCGGATGAAACGTGTTCTGAGACCCAAGATCCGCACGGACGCGTTTTTTTTTTGTATCTACGTGCTAAAACGACTCTCACCCGGGTGAGGGGTGAGATGGTATGGTGCCGTGACAGCGCCCGCCAGGAGTGCGAGGACGGGGCCATCCTGTCCACGAGATGAGCAAGCTCAGAGCTCGACGACCAGCGGGTAAAGATAAGTATTGATTATGTGTCCCACAATGTGGGACTATCAGTAATCAAAACTCAAGAACAGATACTACACTTGATCTAAGCCAAAAGGCCAGAGAGGATCCACGCGCGCGGAGTTTTTTCAAATTTTGCAGACTATATATACTATATAGCCTGGCGAAATGCACGATCGATTAGTATAGTGGTTAGTACGGGACGTTGTGGCCGTCCAGACGAGGGTTCGATTCCCCCATCGGTCATTTTTTGGCTATGTCTCCACTATCCGGCTTGAATGAACAGACCTTTTTTTTTTTGCAATTGATCACTTTGTCATCTACATGTCATCTACATGTCATCTACAAGATAATGGGGGAAGCATCGTAATCGTGATCGTTCGGTCAGGCGAAAGGAATCTTAAAGCCTCCCGTCAAATCCATCACCCGCGTGGGATCGTAATGGCGCTTGATCGCCTTTAATTTTGTCAGGTTTTCCTCGCCGTACCTGGGTTGACAGGCCGAGTAAATTGCTGTGTCTAGCGGCAGACTAATGTGACTTACAACTCGACGAGTGGCGTGTCAGCCAGAGCGTAATTCGGATAACGGATTTGCGGGTCAACGGCCTGACCCTCCTTCCGGGCAATGTCGAGCAGCAGTTCTGCGCTCTTCTTCATCTCGTTGCGCCAAAATTGATCCTCGAACGGGTTCGACCATGCAAAGTACAGATTGAGTGGAAGCAAAGGGCGCGAGCTTGCGTGTGGATAAGCGCCACCTGCGCGCGGACGTTCGTCAGCGAGCGGATATATTGACCCCAATCATGCGTACCATTCGAGTTGTCGTACAAAGTCTTGACAAATGGCTCGACGTCATAACTAATGAGAGTGGCAGAATGAAGCAAAGAGATGCTTGCGTACTTGTTGACCTGATAAGATAATCAGCTCGCGTCAATATTTTTTCTTTCGATTGCCTTTCCTTCGATTGCGCTCACCTCCTGCAGGACTGCGTTCATCAAAGCGGGGGAATAGTCCAACACGCTTATGGTATGGAAAGCTCCGCGTTGCGCGCCAGAGTTGAGGTTCGAAGGCACGCCGCTGACAAAGTCGACCCAGGTGCGCGTCTTGACATCGTTCACGAGCGCCGGAATCTTGTCAAACGCAGCAAAAGTCCCCGCTGGTGGAGTCTCGCCATCGTAAAACTGCAAATGAATTGCACCGGGTACGCCCGCCGCCGCATTAAAAGTTGGCAAGACGTTTGCCTTCGCGTCACGATTCGATCTCGAAAAGTTGGTCGTGGCCGTCGCCAGCGCTTTCAATGCCTCGGGGCCGAATACTTTGAGACCACCATTAATATTCGGTCCAGATGAATACGTCTTTGCCGTGATTGCAGTGACGACGCCGAACTCGTTGCCTGCGCCGCGTACGCCAAAGAACAAGTCGGGATTCTCAGAATTGGACGCAGTGACGATTTCGCCCGAAGGCAAAACAACTTGCATCGATGTCACTGTATCGATGACTAATCCGTATTGATTAGTGAGCCAGGAGTAACCGCCGCCAGCTACCACAAAACCGCCGACGCCGACTCCAGAGACACGGCCACCAACAATCTGTCGTCCAGGAGCGTTGGCTAGCATGAACTTGTACAAGTCATCCCAAACGTGACCAGGAGTATACGTGAGTTCAGTTTTGTCACTGTTGAGTTTCATGCTGTTGGTGCCGTCCAGAGTCAAGCCATTCAACGTCATGTGAACGCCTTTCGTCGAGGAGAAGCCAGGGTTGGATGCGTGTCCCCCTGCAGAGATTGCAAAGGGAACACGCTTGGATCCTAGCTGCTTGATAATTTGGCTGACTTCTTGAGCAGACTTTGGCTTGACGAGGCAGGTGGCGATTTGCGCTGCGGACACCACGGATTCTAATGTTAGTGCGAAGCGAATAAGTGCACCGATGAGTTTGACTCACACGACGAAGCCATGTAATGCGATGTGTCTTGAGCATAGTCTGGCGACACTGTCTTGGACAGAGAAACCTGCCCTGTCAGCATTCTGCGAATGTCCAGGAAAGCTTGGCAAGTTCGACTGACGTGCACCGTACACCGCCGTCGAGTTTGACAGCGACTTGCATACAGCGGCAATTGAAGCGTTCACGAAGCGTTTCTCAAGCACGACACCGTCCTCGACTGCGAAATCTCGCCAGACGGGGGTGGCAATGGTCGCCGCGGCAAAAAGCAGTGTGGCAAACAAGTGCGAATACATGCTGGTAGTGGAGCAGAAGCAAGAAGACAATATTCGTGCGATCTTGTACGTTTTATTGCCGAAAACCCGCTAGACTAGTGACGATGCTGCGAGCGAATTCGAATTAACGCCGGGTCCCCGGTTGTCTCAGACGTCAATCCTCGTGCGGGGCATCGCAGAAGGGTTAATTTTTGAAAGCGATCTAGCATTTTTCGACCGCTGGAGTTTGAAATTTCATTGGTTTGACGTGAGCGCGCGCTCGCACGCGGCTTTTCACGTGAAACACAGGTTGATCATAGAGGTCGGCACGCAAAAGTGACAAAAAGCTACGACGGAGAGGTAAGTCTGAGGATCCGCAGTCATATGACCATGCTAAGATGCAGACAATCCATCAACGTCTGAAATCTGAAACGCCGGGAACGGCCGAGAGCTCGAAAAACTCGCGCAGATGCCACCAATGTGCCGCGCATGTCTCTGAAACCATTACAGGATTTATGTGGACATTTTTCTTTGTTCAAATCATCGCTGAGCACCTATGATCGCTGGCTAAAATGGAATCTTGAAGCCTCCGGCGAGATCCATCACTCGCGTAGGATCATATTTGCGCTTGATCGCTTTGAGCTGGGCCAAATTTTCCTCGCCATACCTGTGGGGCGACATCAGCTACGTGGTCGTCACAGGTTAAGCAGGTGACTTACAACTCGATAAGCGGCGTGTCGGCAAGGGCGTAATTCGGATAACGAATCTGCGGGTCAACCGCTTGTCCTTCCTGTCGCGCAATGTTGAGCAGTAAATCGGCGCTCTTCTTGAGCTCGTTGCGCCAGAAGTTATCTTCGAGCGGATTCGTCCAGGCGAAATAGAGATTGAGTGGAAGCAGCGGGCGTGTGCTGGAGTGAGGATAAGCTCCACCTTTTGAGTTATCGAAATAGGACGGTACAAATGGCTCAACATCATAGCTGATGAAAGTCGCCGAGTGCAGCAGCGAGATTGAGCCATAATACTGCACTTGCTGAATGATTGCGTCCATTATTTTTGGTGAGTAGTCCAACAAAGAGATCGTATGGAACGCCCCCCGTTGGTTCGCCGTTGCGTCCGCCGGACTTGCTTGCACCAAGCTCGTCCAGGATCGCGTCTTAAAATCTTTGGAGATAGGCTTGGCCTTGGCCTCATCGAAAGCAGCAAACGTGCCAGCAGGAGGCTTCTCGCCGTCGTAGAACTCGATCAAAACTGCCCCGGGCAGACCGGCAACGGCATTGAAAGTCGGCAAAACGCTCGCTTTTGCGTCGCGATTCGTCCGAGAGAAATTGGTTGTCGCCTGCGCCAATCCCTTGAGATTGAGCCCGTCGTACAGTGCAATACCACCGTATACATTGGGTCCAGACGGGTATGTTTTTGCCGTAATTGCCGTCACCACGCCGAATTCGTTGCCTGCGCCACGCACTCCAAAGAACAAGTCCGGGTTCTCACTTTCGGAGGCAGTCACAATCTCGCCAGAGGGCAAGACAACTTGCATGGATGTGACAGTGTCAATCACGAGTCCGTATTGGTTCGAAAGCCAGGAGTAGCCGCCACCCGCCACCACGAAACCGCCGACTCCGACTCCAGAGACTCGACCACCAACCACCATTCGACCAGGAGCATTGTCGAGCATGAATTGATAGAGCTGGAGAGACAGCAGTCAGGCAATGGACGTCTCTGGAGACAGCCCCGCCACTCACATCGTCCCAAACGTGACCGGGAGTGTAGGTCAGCTCTGTCTTGTCGGCATTGAGCTTCATGCTGTTGGTGCCGTCCAAAGTCAAGCCGTTCAAGGTGATATGGACGCCTTTCGTCGAGGAAAAACCCGGATTCGATGCGTGACCAGCAGTGGATACGGCAAATGGAATGCGCTTTGCACCGACTTGCTTGATCTGATCGAAAACGCGTTTTAGCAATAATCGGATCCACAGGAAGTAAAGACCTACAACGTCGCTGACTTCCTGTGCCGACCGTGGCTTGACCAGACAGGTAGGTGGTTGAGCTGCGACGGAGTAAATGTCACTTGCGAGGGAGTGATAGTGCACGACAAGTACTAACAAGACGAGATCATGTAGTGCGAGGTATCCTGTATGTAGTCAATCGATACTTTTGGCAACCAATTTTAGCTCGAACTTCCGAACATGCCGAAGACTCCTCCAGCTTATTTACTTACAGGCACCGAATACGCCCGTCGACTTGGACAATGTCTTGCACGTCGAAGCGATCGTGCTGTTGACGAATCGACGTTCAAGAACAAGTCCATCATGCGCGTCTGCAAAGCCTGAGCGGGCAAATGGACTGGCCGCTGCGACGCTCGACAGGACGATCACGGGCAAAATCCGCATTGTCGAAATTCAAGTCCTTTCCGAAAACACTTGGGTCGAGTTTCGGAGAGAGAAAGATGTGGGACAGATGTGAAGACTGTCGGGACGAAATTGATGGCAATGACCGGCGAAGAAGGGTCGTTAGCGCGTCGGCCTTATTGATGGCCGGCCCTTGGCAGGTCTGCGCGAAAACATCGTGGGACGACGCGGATCCTGCCCAAGCCAATGTCTCACACGTCATTCGTTTGCCGGAAGCGAAGTTGCAACCGAGCAAGACTGTCTTCGCGACATTCGTCGGCGGTGTGCCGTTGACATTAACGTTCGAGCTTGAACCTGAAGCGAGATCCAGATGCTCAAGGCAAAAGAGGATCAAACATGCGGAATCAATCAGAACGGTGAAGCTGAGCATCCGGTGATTCACGTAGCTGACAGCGTTACAATGTATCTTGCTCGAAAAATTAACCGCAATCCGTGATCTCATCTGACTCGCACTAGGCTCCGACATGGCCACGTTTTCTTTGTTTCATTGTCACTGGGCCGATGAAACCTCTCCCGTTTCACCTCCTATCAGCCGGTGCCCGTCGGGGTTTGCAACTCGCTATCCTGAAACGAGGTATCTCCCGCCGTCTGCAATTGAAACGAATGAAATACATTCGTATGGCATGGCTCTTTCGCCTTGGCATATGTATCATGTT